ATTTGAATCACCACCACGAGCGGATGCAGCGCATCCTGGCCCAACAGACTGCTGGACAGAAACTTCATCTTAACAGTGGCCAAGTGAAACCCTGTAAAGTCGATGCCCAGCTCCCGACACATCGATCCCTCTTCGACTTCGATGAGCGGCTTTTCAAACGCGGCAATCTGGAGGCCGCTGCTCTATTGGCCCAAAACAAGGCCATGCTACGCCAGTGGCTAAACCCCAGCTTTTTGATCTCCTAGGCAACCCCATCTAAGCCCTTACAAATGCAAATTTATCAGTTAGTTTTATGTGTTTCAAGTAATTTTGTTGAATCAAAATTCAAATCAAAATTTCTAGGACAATCTCTTTAGCTCACTGGCAGCTTATGAAAATGAAATATATTGTTGGGTATTCGCAAATAAAAAGTTCTTTAGTATAAAAATCTGGTACTGTCAATAGTAAATAATGAAAATAAGAATCATTTTTGGGAGACTAAATGTGAAATTTTGAACTACAAAAAAAACTTGATGATTTCAAATTAAATTTTCCGTGCAAACAGGTTTAAACATTAATTTTAAAACAAATCCGTCTTTCCTTAAAGTATATATCCCGTTCCAAAAGAAAATAGTCCATTACAATATAAATACAAAGACCGTTATTATTTTGATTTAAAAATAAAATGCAAATTTCGAAACATTTCTTCTAAAATAAATGTCATTAATTCTATTTAATTGAATATAACCATAGTCATATTTTAAAATTGTTTAGATAAAGTTTTTTTTTCAGCACATTCGCTCCCTCGATTTTTCTAATATTCCTTCTACGTCTTTGAAGTTTGTTGCTGTAGTCATTTGTCACTCGAAAGGGATGCAAAAATTAAAACATGGCCCAGTAAAAAGTGATGGCCCATTGGCGCGGCCAAGGAGGGACTCGAAAGGGGGGTCATCGGGGTCAGGCAAGTGCAAATGTGTGCCATGACAGGAGCGGAGGTGCGCAGAAGCCGAAGGGGTCTCGTTAAGTGGCAAACGAAGTCAAACGGACGGCGACGCTTTTATTTGTGATGCTTCGCTGCCTCTTTGTGTGACTTCTACTCTCTACTTTCCTCTTTCGGTGCTCGATTCGTGCTCTGCGAAATTGGCCAGAAAAGGCTGGCCAAAAACTGGCACGTTCCTATACCTAAAGCTATAGAGCTTCAGAGCTCTCTTTCTCGATCCCCCCGACTTCCCATGACAACATGACAACAAAGAGGTCATTTACTTTCCTTGCGAGCATGAAATAATCGTTCGTCGTGGCTGTGACTCTGAAAAAAAGATGTAAAAACATCGAAAACAGCTCGAAAAGTCAGGCCAAAGCCAAACAAAGCGCAAAGCAAAAAGTCAAACTCACATATTTCGTGCAAAATAAAGCGCAAATGCAACAATGACGACTCTTCGAATGGTACAATTTTGAATTGAAACTAAAAGATACTCTATATTTTCTATTAAAAGATACCAATTTTGTTGATTTTAAAATGACATTCTAAAAGTAAAGATAAATAAAGACAATAGATTCGGAACAATAATGTACTAAATAAGAACAACAGCAATTAAAATGTTTAACTTAAAGGTTTTTAAACCAATAGTTTGCAAAGGTTAATGAAAAATTCAAATAAATCTTTAGCATTCCCTAAAACTTCGGTATACCCTTTGCTTTAAATGCAATAAAGGCAGGAAGGAAAATATAAAGCTGAGAGATAAATGAAATTGGCAACAGAACCGACAGCCACAGAGGATAAAGGCACGGGTAGAAGCCCACTTCCACTTTATAGGCTACCAGTCAAGTTGACTTCTCCATTCCGAATCGTTTGTTTTTAATTTTTTTGGTGGAATCAAAAATCGATTAACAAAGCGCCGGCAGCAATGCGCCGCATAAAGCTGCAAAACTTTAACGGCACATTTAAAAAGACATTTCTTTGAAACGAATTCGCGTGCCAATCTACGTGTGTGTTTGTATCTATGTGGGGAAGAAAGAAATAAGAGATAATTGGTATAAAATACCCGCTTATTGCTGTCACGAGTATCGATTTCTATATCAGGATGTGTCACGTGCAGAAAGCAGCTAACGCCAAATCCCACTGCAAAGTCTCTAAAATTCTATCTTCGATTAAACTGTGGTGATTCAGAAAAAATGGAAGAATGTTTAATATATTTCCCTTGAGTGAAGTAATACTATTGTTCAATTTCCATGGCTAAAAATCACACAATCATTGCGTAAGCGAATTAGACTTGAACGTTGAAAAACAATAGTTTAAACCTAGCTTCTGATCTCATAGGCTTTTATGAGTCAGGGCTGTGTAGCAATATAAAATGCAAGTACAGCGATGATTGGAATGTACTCATTTTATTAGTAAAAAGGTGAAAATATTTTATAAGAATAATTATATGAATAATTATAACAATTTAACTTTAACCTTTTGTTTAAACTGTTTTTTGTTTTTATTTGTTTAAATTCTGGTTAAAATGTTCGAAAGGTATTGGGTGATGATTGCTTTGCCCAAAATCTATGCATTTAAATAAAAATGTTTTTACTTAAGCTTTAGGTATGTAAAAAAACTCCCTAAAAAATGTGTCAACAAAAAAAAATCCAACGAACTCAAAAAAAAAAAAAAAACATTTTAAAAGCGATTAAATGTGATTGATCCCCTCTGCATAGCAATCATTTATTTTATAAAGCCTCTGACCTCATATGGCGTTCTATTACTCAACTCTATATAAACTGTTGTGAAATGCATACATTTAAATTATTTTGCAATCACAGACACACCAAGCAACAGAATGCGGGCGCAAGTTACACACGAAACCAAACAAGAAAACTAACGCAATTTAATGTAAAGGTAAGGTAATACTTCCCAAACTCCAGCCCCTTTTTCCCCCTCTTTTCCGTTTCATCAAATGCCATGTTTACAAGTTTCAGCATTTCCATTAGGCGAAAAGCACACGCAGACGCATATAAATGTTTTATAACCGACTTCGGTGCGTCTGTCTGGTGACTTTAAAATAGTGTTCATTACTCCATTGTCTATAATTAGAAACTGCTGACTCGAGAAAGAGGAGAAGCAACTCTAGAAAGACGAGACTATAATTAGGATGTGGTTGGCAGAGAGGGGGTATTATAAGGGGAGAAGGGGTCTTGAGATTGACACGTTTCAACGCTGATGCTCGAAGCTGATTGCCAATCGGAATTTGTTGATGGATTCAATTCGATTCAAAGTGGGAAACCTAACCGATTCGTAATGTAAATGTTTGTCTCGAATGGTGCGTTATCAGCTTCCAAATTTCAACGGAACAGCACTATATACTCAAAAAATAAACACAGATTGGCAGCCAAGGCAAGGGCAATAATATGAATCTAAAATAAAGAAGGGCCTCAGTCTCAAGTCCCAGACTAGAGGCAAACAAAAGTTCAATAAAAATAAACTGGAATTAAGCATAAACCAATAAGCACACGGTCACAAAAATAAAAAGAAACGAAAGCCCCACTTTGCTTGTACTTACAACAGGGCCTAACGAATTACATAGTTGAAAACTAATTATTTCGAAAGTCAACCACTTAAGCTTAGGTATTAACAAGAGTTTTTCTAACAAATATTTTTTCTTTCTCGAAATTACTTCTATCTCAAAAAGTTATTATTCTTCTTCTTGTATAATTTATTTACACTTTCAAGATGAAAATATCTATTTTGTTGTTTTACTATTACTAAAAATTTAAAAACCAGAAAAATTTAACAAAAATTATATTTGTTGTAAATATGTTGTCAAAAATTAGTTATTTTTAATAAATTTTGTGACAACTGTTATTCGTGTGTTCTTAATTTTGTTGTTTCTCAAGCTGAGCCACAGAATTTGAAAATAATTCATATTTAGTACTTTAGTACCAAAATTTCCTAAAATTGTCAAATTTTGTATTTTGCCGGTCGTTTATTTCGCAAATACCACTGTATCAGATTTTAGGCTTGAGTGTGTGTGAGAACGCAGTAAAAAAACTGGTCTCAAGTCTCGAAAATATGCGCTCAAGGTCGGTCAACGGATTTGCTTTTGTTGCTTTTTCGAAAGACAACAAAAATAAAAACAACAAAAGCAGCTGCATCTAAAAAAAAGCATTCCGAAAACGACACAAGATCGCAAAAATTCAGCTGCAACAAGCGCCGCTGCGGGAAAGAGAGGGCGAGACATAATTAGAGAGGGAGCCCCAAAATTCTGCGAGCGGAAACAGCGGCGGCAAACGTAAATTAAAAACAATTGTAGAAATTTCCTGAGTTGGCGAAAAATATGAAAACAGTAATTGTTGTTGCTGTCGCCACCCGCGCACAACACACTAAACAAAAATCTCATGGAAACAGATCATTGAATATTACAATATTAGGAAAAAAAAATGTGTATGAATAAAATTGTACTTAATTTTTAAACGTTAAAATCGAATTGAAGACTTTTTTAAATATATATTTGAATCATTAACCCATTAAAATGCATAGTTGGTTTGAGTAAATTAAAAAGTTGTTAGTTTAGAAAATACTCGATCAGAAATTTCTTTTTCCGTTGGAATTCAGTTGAACAAGATTTCTGAAATACCCAAATATAAAGGATTTTTTTTTAATTATGACAGCTAAAAACGAGCTGTTTGTTTTTCTCGGTGCTATAACACCCACACATAGGCACCCGCGAAGCTGTGCCGTTATTTTCCAGCAAATATTTGAATTCCGCGAAGCGAATGGAAAGGCAGCCAAACAACTTTTGCGGTTATTAAGCATAGGATAATAAACAGAGAAGCAGAGCAACAAAAAGGCACGCATGATCAATGGGGAATGGGGGGAAAATAAAGAGAGGGAGCGGGAGAGCAGAACCCACGGCCATGTGCCAGCTAGCCGTCCTGCTCTGACTCCCGCAACAAGTGCACAAGCAGCGGCTTAAAACAAAAAGGAGCCATACTAAAAAACGTATAGAATCTGAATAGGATAACTATAACTAAATATAACTCACTTTATCCAGACACTTGAGCTCCTCGATAGGATAGACCACCTTCTGGCAACGTGCACAGGTTTTGTTCATCTTGCCGCTTTTTCCTTCTTTGTTTTTTATTTCTTTGAATGTGTGTATGTATATAAGCACTTTATTTACACACAAGGATTTTACTGTTAGCTCTCTAATTATCCTTTTTCGGCGACACTTTTACACTCCACGTTAATCACACGAAATCCACTCGGTTTAATTTTGCATATTGCGACTGTTGGGACTAATTGGTGATCTGCGAATTGCGATTGGAGAACCTGATCGGATCGGAATAGGAACTGTGGGAATGTATTTGTTGTGTGTGCAGGTATGGGCCGAGAATTTGTTTCACACTATTCACAAAAACATCTAATAACTGGTTTGCTTGGTTGTTATATAAAAACTGGCGATCCACTGTCGACTTTTTATCCAATTTACACTTTTCTTTTGGTTTTATTAATTTTCAGCTGTCGCGACTGCGCTGCAGGTAAAAAAGCGACGCGCGCAGAGGAAAAAAGAGGAAGAACTCCTGGCGTAGGCGTAGTGTCGTTAAAGTGCCGTTATTTTTGATAAAACCACCCAGAAATCGTAATCTATGTTTGTGTATTAATTTTAAGGTGAGTTTGATTGAGGCGCGACACAACCGAAAAAACGCGACAATCCGCGATAAAATAGTTCCGTTCGTTTCGTTAGTGATGAGCGCAGCAGATTGATGGGGGTGGATAGTCTTTGATATAACATCGATACCATCAATATGTAATCGATTTTATAAATATCGATTTCTGACTGGGCACATCGAACATTTTCCATCTCTATCGTTTATTTATATCGATATGCAAGGCAGCCATCTCTATTATAGCTGATATCGATTTTAAAAAATATCACTCAATCGTTAGCAGTGCAGAAACTCTCCAGTTAATGGGCTCTGTTAAACCGCTCTTAGACAGTATGTTATTATTATTCACAGTTTAAAAGTTTTATCGAAAAGTTGATTACATATTTAAGAAAATTCATTTGTTGGATAAACTTCTGTAAAGCCGTACCTATTTTCCTAATGCTATTCTATGCTATTAAATATGCTAAGTTTTTAAGTTTATTTGCATTGCACAGCCTATTGGTGCATTTACTTAGTTTCTCAAAACCATTTTTTAAAACTGAACGGATTTCAAATCTGCAACGCAAGTACGAGCAAAAACCTATCGTCTGGGATCGATGAGTCGACTTTCTTGTACCGGCTGCCGCACAGGGTGCCCGCGGCACATCACCCACCACCCCGAATCCTTGGAGTTTTACTATCGAATTTTTGCTGTGTGTGTTAATATCCTGCAGCTCCCAGGGCGTAGGACTAAAATTAAAGGCAAAACCTACGAAAATTGGTGCAAACCAATGGCCAAATAGATCCAGAGCAGGGTAAACCACGAAATTAGTGTGTAAATGGAGGCCAATTGAGTCGAATTGAATTTTTCGCTCTGCCAAAACCGAGAGTGTGTCACCCATTTCTTTGTGCTTCAGTTTTTCCGGGGGACAGACAAAGAAAGTAAAGAAAGTTGTGCAACTTAAAGGGAAATATACATTATAATCAACGAGTTACGGTGCACAGAAAATATATAATTCACCGCTGCATAATGAAAGGCGTAGTATTAGCTGCATCCCTTTCCCTCCCCCCACAACGCCCTAAAGTAGGCAAAGTGCAAGTAAACACGCACACAGATACAACCGTTGGAAAATCGATAATCCGTACGTGTGTGTGCGCGTAAAAGTGTGAGTGAGACAAATGCCGGTGTGTTCTATCGGACAAGTGACACGATAACAACAACAAGCTGGCTTGAAGGAGTGCGTAGGTGCGAGCAGGACAGCAGACGCGAACAGCAGGATAAGTGTAAACAAAGCACAAAAAGCACTACAAAACAACAACGAAGCAACTATTATAAATCATAAATAAAATAGCCCCCCTAAAGCTCAATCATTATTCGCAACATTATACGCGGCCAAAGGAATTACTACACGAATGCCAATCAGCTTTTTCTGAGCAAAATGCAGACGCTGCGCAAGAAAACGAGTCCTTGTAAATGTAAGTAAAAAATACAGTGATATGATGGCGATCTTAAAAATTAAGAAATAAAAAAGTGCATAGGATATAGGGCCTTAAACATAATATTAATATTAATAATTTAAAAACTTCTCAAGCTAAAGTTTCAAAAAAATTTCATTTTCAACACTTCAACAAACATTTCTTGTCTTATTTCTTTCAAATTTCGATAAATTTAAGCAAACCCCACGGATCGTTCGATGCACCTCTAAGCCTTGTTATCGATTGGCGGCTCAGCAGCATCCGCCAATCGAATAGCAGCTGCTGCGCCGGCGTCGCAGTTTTCGGCAGGTGGTGCAGTTTCCCAAAAAAGAACAACAATGAGCGCGAGAGATCACCGTTTTCTGTACTTAGTTTTTCGCGATGAAAATCACTAAATAATAGAGTGAAATCTATGTACACCCGCGAGTGTCTCCATGTGTGTGTGTTTTTGTTTGTTATTTGAATTGAACAAACTGCGACAGTCCAGTCAAAAGAGCAGCAAGAGAGCAGCATCGCGTATACGCTCTCATTCGTTTTTATTCATTCCATGATCGCGGTCGCGGATCATCGTTCTCTGCTAGAATTTAATTAAATCTATTCTATAACATCGCGAAAAATCGTTGTTGAATATATTGTTTGTCTTCCATTGTGTGGTGCACCTTCTACGCCTGCCCCCCCACCCCCACCCCAATGGAAATGTCAACACAAGTACACACACAAGAGAGGCCAGGAATGTGACAATGATTTTGTTGACACTCCAGTGAACAGTTCCAGAATACCCGAGTTCCAGAGTTTCCCAGGCAGCGGCAGCGACAGCGCTTTTCCAATGAACAGTGCCCACTAAGCAACTTGAGCTGAAAAATGGTCAAATCCCTGGTGGCCAAGTTGTCCACAGCCTCCTCCAATCTCTCTTTGGCCAGTACCTTTGGCGGCGGCAGCGGCGCGGCAGAGGAAACGAATTACGCAAAACGTTAGCAAAAGCAAACTAAGCAAATACACAAATCACAAACAAACACAGTGATCCCTCCGCAAAGGAAAACACCAATAAATATTTCAAAAGAGTTAGCTACCTGCTACTTTAAAGTTATTATATTCTTTGAAATTTGCAACTATTGTCTGGAAAAAGGAATTAATAGGGCCAAGTTATAAATTTAAATCTCTCTTAAAAAGTGACAGAATAAAATTTAGTTAACAGTAGTAACAAGTTAAAATGTAGCAATTGATAAGGCCGAGCTATAAATAAAAAATGTAATACACAAAGGACCAATAAAACTCAAGATTGTTTACTAACGGAGTGTGGTTCACAATCAAATTTTTTTTACTTGTTCCTACTAATAGTAAAACAACACATCATTATTAAAGCAACGAAGAAATTAAAAAAAAATATAAACAATATTATTAAATGTTTGATGATCCAATGCTATAAATAATGTTCAGCCAAGCGCGACATTACTTAAGAGCCTGGAAAATGATTCATTGAAAAGATATGCATGGGGTTTCGCTCCATTAAAAACATATTTATACTCGCATTAATAAATATTTAAAACATTTACGAGAAAATACATAAAATAAGTTATATCAATAATATAAAAACTATATCGCATTAAATTGTCTATAGATATTATTAGAAACCTTTTTTTATATTTAAAAATAGTTTTTTTTTACTGACTGAGTTTAATTATTTATACATTTTTTAGAACTTACTAGCTTTGTTCAATCAAAACGTATTTTAAATTTGTTTTAATTGTATTAAGATTGCAAAAACTAATAGTTAGTGTTCTCAAATGTAATTAACCACACCCCGAATTTTAAAGCTTCTAAATCTAGCCAGTGACCACTGCACCCTATAAACCATTTTCGTCAAACAGAATCGAACACACACCCTAACAAACACAAAAACTTATTCTGCCATTCCATTTTTCGTCGCTTTTTTCCAGATCGCAATGATCCGGGACGCTTTTTCGGCGATGGCGTCCAGTTCAAGGCAAAGCTCATCGGCATTCTGGAGGTGGGCGAGGCTCGGGGAGATCGGATGTGCCAGGAGGCGCTGCAGGACCTCAAGATGGCCATTCGAGCGGCTGGAGAGCATAAACAGCGGATAACGATCCATGTGACCATCGATGGGTTGCGGTTGAGGGATGAGAAAACGGGTGATTCCCTGTACCATCATCCGGTGCACAAGATCTCCTTCATCGCCCAGGATATGACAGATTCGAGGGCCTTTGGATATATCTTTGGATCGCCGGACAGTGGCCATCGGTTCTTCGGCATCAAGACGGACAAGGCGGCCAGCCAGGTGGTGCTGGCCATGCGCGATCTCTTCCAGGTGGTCTTCGAGCTAAAGAAGAAGGAGATCGAGATGGCGCGCCAGCAGATCCAGGGCAAGTCCCTGCACGACCACGCCAGCCAGCTGGCCTCCCTGTCCTCGCTGAAGGCCGCCGGCCTGGGTGGCATGGCCTTGGGTCACTCGGACTTGGCCAGTGGAGGAATTTCCTCTGGTCACGCCCTCACCCTGCTGGGCAGTAGCCTCAGCGCCTCGAATGGAACAAGCAGGCTGGGTGTTAATCTGGATGTTGCAAAGGCATCAGGATCAGCGGCTAAGGAGGTAATAATATATATATCTCATATTTCTATTGCAAATCCCTATTCATTTGTTTCTCTTTTCTACAGATCTCTCCCGAATCCGTGGCTGATCTGGTGGATCTAGAGCAAGAGCTTACCTCACTGCAGAGGGGAATCAGTCAGATGGAGAGAATTACGCCAAATGAGCCCACAACTTTGGCCTCCAGCGGTGGTGGTGCTGGCCAACCCTCATTGGCGAAATCCGCCAGCGAGGATGATCCCTTCGGAGACTCGTTCATCTATGTGCCCTCCTACAGCATCCTGCCACCGCCTCCAGATTCTGGACGCAACAGGCACAAGCCGCCTAGCAAAGCACCAGAGGCCGTGGCCGGTTTGGATGCAATGCTCTCGCCACCTCCAGGCGCTAGTAGCTCTCAATCTCCGGCCATCGCAACACTCCAGGCGGCGGCGGATAACGACGATGACAACTGGCTGCAGGAACTGGACCAACAGCCTGATGTCTTCGATACTACCAAAGTGGTGGGCACTAGTGGATTGGGATCGGTGTTGGCCATGGCTCCGTTGGCCTCTAGTGAATCGACGGCCACGCCCACAAAACAACTGACGGAGGTCGCTGCAGGATCCGGACCTCTAGCTGATCTGGATATGGGTTTGGGTTCGGTTGCAGGAAATGAGGATCTGGCCTCGGCCATTTTGTCTTTGGGTGAGTTAAAAAGAAGAGCATCTCTCCTCCATCTTCTTCTGATTATTGAAGTTATCACACTTGTGTGGAATTCTGTCGCTTTGTCATCTCCATTAAAGCGATGAAAGAGCTGTCTGTGATCGTTGGGGAGTGGTCAGGGTAACGAGATGTGTCCGCCCGCCCATGGGAACAATCGGGAGTAGACTTGGGTCAAATTAATTGAACTGAATGGAATGTTTGGCTTTATAACTCTTTGCTGATTCTTTTGATTTACTTAAAATCAATGTTTAAGTATCTTAAATTATTTAAATTCGTTGGCTTATCATTGACTTTTACTTCTATTCGTATGAATTATGAATTGATTATAATAATTTATATTATTCATGTCATTTACATCTGATTAAAATTTTTTTGAGTAATTTTCGTTTTCATTAAACAGACAGCTCTTTTTATTGCTTATACAATTATTTTTTAGGTTGCGTATTTTTTCCTTAAATGTTTTTGTGGTTTTTGTGTGTAAAGTATTCAATCTTTTCCCAGCGGAAATCCCACTCACATATATTTAATTTTATTAACATCTGAACAGGGATTTTCTTTTGTGGCTTCCATGTCTTCGGAACTCATCGAAGATTTCAAAACATTTTTTTATTACTTCTGAGCTCAATGAGATTATCTCTTGTGTTTTTGTTTTGCTTTTGTGCCACCTCCGACTTTGGAGCCTCCTTTTGGAGCAGCACTGTTGCCCCGAGATTTCTGTCGCTTTTCCTTATTCCTTCTGTTCCATTGTGCAGATGCGTTCACGGATCTGGATCCGCTGGGCACGGGACGCACCAGGCCGTATGTTGATAAGAAATACTTCTTCCAAGAGCTCAAGAATCCTCCGAAGAAGCTGCTCAAGGAGCTCAGCTCCGGCAGTCAGGCGGGTCTCGGCTTGGGTCTCTCCCTGGGCCAGTCGGATGGCCTCTTTCCGGAGGATAGCACCACCATCTCCACCACCACTACCACAGCTACTAACATCACCGCAGGTACTAACCAATCACAACTCGAACACCATTTCCGCACAGAGAAAAAATGTCGCTTCCATTTTCCACTTAACATCAAAATATAGTCGTATTTTTGTGATGTTTTTTCTCTGTGCACCCAGAAATCGCATTGAGTAAGCAGGTCTCTAAAGTTTGCACTTGCACCGCAGGAAATCCGCTCCAGAACTCGGCTAACACACTAACCACCACCGCTAGCACCGCCGCCAGTCTGGGCCAGCTCCTGTCCACGATGGCTTCCAATACCAATACCAGTACCAATACCTATCCCGATCCCCTGACCGCTCCCGCTCCCCCATCCATTTCCATGTCCACAACAACCATTTCCCATTCGATCACCCCGAGCGCTGAGCTAAAACTGTTGCTTGGCCATGTCACTAATCCGCCTAATCCCACCGGCCACTATTATACCACAGAACCGCCCACGCTGACCTCGCTGGAGGATACCCATCCGCCGGCGGATCCTGTGCTGCTGCCCAGGGACACGGATCCGTTCTCGCCCACGCGCAAGAAGAGCGATCCAGATCCCTTTCAGGAGGGCGATCTCTTTGCCAAGCTGGATGCCTTCGAGTTTGAGGCTCCGCCGGCGGTTCCAGCTCCCACGATCCCCAATTTGGCGCCGGAACCAAAAGCGAATGTATTCAATGGACCACTGCAGGTGCAGTTGCCACCGGAAAAGGAGTTGCAGCTTCAACAGCCGCCAAGTACGGTAAGGAATCGTCCCACGGCATCGGTTTCCGCCCTGCCAAGTGGCGGTGCCCTGGATGTGATCTCCAGCATTAGCAACAAGAAGATGCCGCATCTCTTTGGCCAGGCCAGAGCATTTGGCAAATCCGGATCGGACATTGGTTCGAGTGTCAATATGCGGCGATTGCAGGAGAGCGATTCGCTGAGCGAGACAGAGGCTGCTCCGGAGCCACCACCACGTCCAGACTCCACTCCGTACTCGGAGCCACCGCCCCTGCCGCCCAAGAAGCAGTTTAGCGACCTGGTCATCCGACCCTCGCCCGCAAATCCCACACCACCGCCCACTGCCGGACGGTATGAGTATTTGAACAGTAGCGTCACGGCGCGCAGGACTCTTTCGTCGGCTGATGCACCACCCATTCCATTGCCATCGCGTCGTGTGGGTCGTTCTGATGGCTGTTTTCCGGGACCGGGAAGGCCAAGAAAACCGGGACACACCGAGGATGACTATTTGGCGCCGCTGGGAGCTCCGCCGCCATTGCTGCCGCCACCCAGTCAAGGATCTTCGGCTCGGGCGCGACCCCAACGGCAGACTTCTTTGGGGCGGGCGCAGGATATCTACGAAAACAAGGCGGAGATCCTGCAGGTTCAGGCGCAGGAAGTGTCGTCCACTACCAATACCCTGGCTCCCGACATCACATTAACCCAACTGCTCACCCTTGGAATGGATGACCTGGCCATTAAGTTGAACGTTCCGGCCAGCAAGCTAAGCACCATGACGCTGGTTCAGTTGACAGCCTATCTATCTGCGTATTTGTCCAGTGAAAAGAGCCACACTCACAGCCAAGAGAGGAGGTCCTCGCCAGCCAATCCAGCCAATCCTGCCCCAGCCTCTACAGCGGCTGTGTTCAAGGTGAACTTTGATCAGCAGACCTCCTTTGTGGCAAAGTTTGATGATACGTTCGGCGAGGATGAGTTGGTGATGCCTGCGGCTACCTTAGATTCCACTTTTGTGGCCAATTTCGCCAACTTTAATGAGGCCCCCACTCCGATGGCCATGTCAGCAGTGTCGCCAGTGGTTGCCACAGTGCCATCTGCGGACCGATATGCCGTCTTCCGCGAGATCATCGATCAGGAGCTGCAGCAGCAACAGCAGGAAACCGATTTGATGGGCGACTTGACACCACCGCCAGTGGACGAAACGCAGGCCAAAGAAATGACAGAGGGTTTGGAGGCGAACCTCGTGGGCGCAGAGCTACCAATTGATGCCTTGGAGGTGAAACCAGCTCCCAAAATCGACACCAAGATCACCGAAGTGGTGGCCCAGGCCAAGGATCGTTATGCAGCTCTAAGGGACATCATTCTAGTGGAGAATCTCTTCGATAAGCCAGCGATTTCAACGGCTACTCAGCCGGAGAAGGAGAAGGAAAAGGATCTGCTGCAGGACTTTCCAGAGTTCAGCGATGAGTTTAACGAGGATCATGATCTCCGTCAGATAATGGATCATCAGGATGTGCAGCCGCATCCCCGTGATCGCCATGGTCTGGTCGACAGTCGGGGTTTCCCAACAGAGCCATCATCGTCCGCATTGACAGTGGGCGATGATGACGAGGACGAGGATGCAGATGCCGGTGGTGAGAGCAGCCTGGATAGCAACGAAAAGGATGCGGAACCTGTTAGCGGACAGGATCAGTACGAGAAGCTGTCCACTTCCACGCAACAACTGGATGCAGCTGCCCCAGTTCTGGACGATGTGCATCAGCAGCAATCGCTGGCTCCCAAACAGGATCAGAAATTCCTTTCCGTACTCACGGCGCCCGGCGGCGGAACCAAGGATGACATCGAGATCGATGAGCTTATGCATCGGGCCATTTCCAATCTCTCCCTGGACTCAAGGGATCGAATTTCGCCAGCCAACTCCTCGGCAGCTCCGTCGAGGGGAGCTCCCAGCCTGCACACGCCCTCTCAGTTCAACGATGTCAGTACCTCGCCCATTCCGCTCCAGAAACCCGTGATGGGGCCATCGCCAGTGCCCTCGCAGCTTTCGGCGGTGTCCCAACTCATCGATACCGCCACCAAGCAGATGATGGGCGACAAGGAGCGGGAGAAGCAATCGTGGGCCACTTTCGACTCGCCCAAGGCAAAGGGTAAAGCACGACTAACGCTTCCCCCACCACCGCCGCCTGCGTCCAACACTTCGCAACCGGATACGGTGGAATCTCCATGCAGCTCGGATCCCCGGGACGACGGCTGGTCCAAGCAACAACGTCGCTGGGCGAAGAAGGAGCGCCAGCAGACGTCATCATCCTCCCGCGACCTGAGTCCCTGGGACGATGAGACGCCCGAGTATCTCAAGCGGCGGCAGTTAGCGGCCGCTCAAATGGCACATCCTCACCAGCCACAATTGCAGCCACAGCCGCAGCACACGGATCGACATGGCTATTATATGCGACACGCCAGGCGGATGAACTCATGTGACGAGGATTACGAGTGAGTAAATTAATAATTAATTAATTATGATACATGTACATATATCAAGGAAACTATTTAAATATTTGGATATGATAGAAGTTATCAAATACAATGCTAAAAGATTTAAATTTCATTTGTAAACAACATTTTTATCAGAAAAGTTTGGTAGTTATTTGCTTATACATTTTCATATTTTATGTTTTATTAATGGGAGTACAAAGTTATTTAAATAGAAAAGACTTAAAAAGTATAATAAACATATTTAAGGTTAACAAGATCTAAAAAGTATGCATAAAAGAGAAAAATAAGCTCTAAGGTTGTGAGGGTTTTAAAAAAGTTAATAAGGAAGTTTATAAAATTTATCTGTAAACTTAGCTCTAAGAAATAAAAGTTCATCCTAAAATAATGTACATATCCTCGAATTAAAGTCGTAAATTATGCAGCTGCTTTATAATTACATATTGTTACATATACTCGAATTAAAGTCGTACTCTACTCTAGTTCAAAAAATGCATATAATTTCTAATATTGTTATTAATTATAATAAATATAATTGTTCCAGCTATGACGCTGAGTTCATGGCACGTCGGGATCAGCAGCAGCAACAGCAACATCAGCAACGGAAGTTCAAGCATGGTCTCTCCCGCAGCAGGGATAACTTTGAACTTGGTTAGTTCCCTTTCAATCCAACATTAAAAAAAACATCTTTGAAATCACTTCCCGGTATTGGTACACTTACAGATTCACCCAGTTGGTACCATCACCCGGCGCATCACACCTGGTCGCCGCAGGAGATCGAACAGGCGCGGGCCCGGTCTTTCGAGCGTGCTGCCTACGAGCGATCCAGCTATGGGCCACCACCGCCCATCTACGACAAGCGTGGCCAACTGAGGAGCAAGTATCGCGGAGATCACAGGGACAGGGATCGCGAACGCGATCGCGATCGGGAGTACCGAGACTACGCCCGTCCCAGCTACGACTTTGACTTCGAAAATGTGTACGAGGAGCGTGGAGGACGATCACCCATGGCCTACAAGCCGGGAAGGGGCGGTGCTGATTACTTGTACGACAGAGAACGGGACAGAGATCGGGATCGCGAACGTAAATCCTTCGACCGGGAAAGTCTCGAGTCGTATGAGAGTGCCACCCGGCGACGACGTAGTTTCGGCAGTGGCAACGATGTCTATGGCAGCCTGGACAGTCGCGATGATTACCGTGGCGAAAGGGAGCGGGATCGGGATCGGGAACGGGATCGCGAACAGATGAAGACCCGCTCCCTGCGAAAGCCCACAACGACGTCTGGAAAGCTTAGGATCAGTGGCGACATCGATTACGAGCAGGACTCGGAGCTGGATTTCCAGCAGCGATCGGGTGTCCGCAGTCTGCAGCGACCGAGTCAGCTGGGCGGGGATGTGGTGCTGCCCTCCAGTGCGGTCGTCGGCCCACAGAGATTGCGCAAGAGCAGCGGCTCCAGTCCCTGGGATGGCGAGGGTATGTGCTTTGAGTTTACGGATCCCAAGACCTTTATTTCTCATTCGTTTTCATATTGCAGAGCCCGCCTTGCCAGGCCAGAAATCTTGGAAGCGTCCAGCCAGCGCCGCCGAGACCGAAAGACGTTTGGCTGAGAGTCGTCGAGCTGCAGCTTTGGGTCAAACACCCTCGGATGGCGAGAAAGAGCGAAGGTCAGTGGATTATAAAAAAAAAAAAATAAAGAAAGCAATATTATTTAATACTCAACTCTTCGCGCAGATTCCGCAAGAAGACCCGTGCACGCAGTGCCAAGGATTTGGCCACAGTGGGTGTGCCCAGCGTCGCCACCACCGCCCCTAACAGATCGGGCTATGGGCGTGGCATCCGGGATAACTACGACTATATGTGTCCAGGCCAGCGCAATGATGACGACGACGACGACGACGATGATGATGATGAGGACTATGTGGACGATGAGCCGCCAACAGATGAGGATAAATTCGAGAGATTGAATCGTCGGCGGCATGAAATGCACCAGCGTATGCTGGAGTCCGAGCGTCGGCAAATGGAACGCCATCAGCCACCATCGCTGGCGAAGCTTCCTGGCCAGAATCGCAACCGTGGCGTGGTGGTGAACAGTGACTATGGTTTTGTGGACAGTTATGAGCAGACGCCAACGCCCACACCGCGTTCAAATGCCAGCAGCACCGGACCCGGTGGCCTGATGATGAGCGGCGGCGAATCGTCCGCCGGAGTGACTAGTTCCAAGTTCAATTTCGATGACGGTTTTGAGTCGGACTTCAATCAAAGTTCACCGCCTCCGGCGCCGGCAGGCACCGCCTCCAGTTGTAATTCAACGCCAGCGGGACCAGTTTCGGCAAGTGCAAACAATGGTGGATCGAAGAGCCTGTTTCGCTTCTCCAATGATTTCTCGGATCGCGAGAAGCGGGAGCAGTTTGAGGTGGAAACACCGCCGACATCAACGCCACCAATTACGCAGAAACTGCGTTTCGATGACAACGTGAAGGTGTCCCAATTCGATGATGCTGCCTTTGAGGATGACTTTGCCAAGGCATCGTTTGACTTTGAGAAGGAACAAGCGGGTCCAGGCACAGCTGCTGGAGCTGGAGGATCGGGTGCCATGAGCAGGAAGCAGAATATGCGAACCAACAAGCTGCAGCAGCGTCAGGAACTGATCAAGAAATCCGAGTCGGTAAACATATTCGCCAAGAAGCAAGAGGATCCCTTCGAGGACGACGAGTTCTTTAAGTCACCGGACCAGGAGCTGGCATCCGATCAGCACAACGACGATGCAGAGGCCGGAAAATTTCAGTGGAGCGAGGACGCGAACTTTGCCAAGTTCGATGAAAACATGTGATTTGACCAACTCTTTGCCAAGGCATCGGGGCAGCGACCGGAGCCGGATGTCGATGGCCACAACTATGCGGAGATCGATGTGGTCAACGACACGGACCTCTCCTTCCTGACCAATCTCAATCATTACTACCAGCAGCAGCGATTGCAGAGCTTACGGCAGACATTGAACCGCCATGTGTACTGCAATCTGCCAGTCCAGCAGCCAGATCGGGAGCAAGTGAGCGTACAGCCGATGACCAAATCCATCTCCACATCCACATCCACGAGTCCCTGGCACGAGCCAAAGGCCAAGACCAACAAGCCACTGCAGCAATTGCTGAGGAAGCCAAAGAAGTGGAGGCTAAAGCGCACCCTAGATGACATACTCAAGTGTCTGATCATTGCCTCCTCGGAGCATGTGTACGACTACGATGTGCTGTGGTAGGATCAGGAGGATTGGGACGTTGGGGAGCAGTCCGAGGATTAGTCTTGAAGAGATGGGAAATGAAATTAATACTATATATCGTATGAGCCACATACTCTATATCTAGTCAACTCAATCGCCATAATAAACTTGTAGTATCGTAGTAATATCTCTCAAGGACTGTACAGGATTACTTCACTCCCATAAGCTCTGCCCAATCCCAAAGATTCCAAACCCAGGCCAGATTGTATATATATAGGATATACCTACATGAAGATTCCAACCACGTCATAGCGAAAATTTGAACGAGAACAAGCGTTTGTTAAAGTTACTCCCCACTCGACAGATAAGATAATGAAATACTCACACCCCGAATCATCAGTCGATCTACCGATCGATCCAACTAACGAAAGCAACTAATCAATTGCCTATGCTAGATGTCGTCTAACCATATAAACGATTTATCCAAAGTGCAACCACTGTGCTAGCATACAATACTACATATATTCCTAGGATACGTTTATGTTTATGCCCACGACGAGCATAATTTTTATGATTGATTTATTGATTGATTACATAGTTAACTAACGACTAATTAGTTTAATTCGTATCAAAGTGTTTTATGATTTAACCACTTATATACATAAATATATATATATATATTTATACGTAACTGAACGAGCAACTGAAACTGAACGATCAAGTAACTCCCAAGCAGCTAAATAATAATATACGATAATTATACATACAAAGCATATTCTTATATATAATGCAATTATACAAATACGATAGTTATTGTCAAATCTCTCTCTGTGCAAGAGATGTTTAAATTGGTTTTGTCCCATCATTTTGTTCTATCAATTAAACTGTGAGAAGCATAATTCAAATGGTTTTATTTGGCAGTTATTATTATTTATATTCTACTTCGGGTATCTTTTATAAAAACAATGTTGTCTCAGCGACTATTGATTACTTGAATGTGAATGAATGTTGCAACTTATATAGCCATATCGGATCGTATGCTAATTTCTTGCTGCCTTGCCAGCACCTGGCATTTAGGCCACTTTTGGAGCCAAGTGTTTGACAATTTGGAGCGTCCATTACCCAGGCCTTCTCCTCCCAAAAAAAAAACTATAAAAACAAAGACTCGATCCAAGACAATGCATATTCAGTTTTTGGACTCTGTGACAGCAACAATCTCTTAGAAATGCAGCAAATGGTGGGTAGAATCTTACAGCATTCAAAGTCATTTGTTTTGAATAAACCTTCTTCTCATTTCAGTTGGTTATTGTATCCCTGGGATTGCTGGCCAGTGTGGCAGCCAAGCCAGCTGTGGACCAAGCTCTGTTTTCGGCTGGGTCACCTTTCGGTTTCTATCCAGGATCGGCTGCTCCTTTTGCCGCCTACACGGCTGCTCCCTTTGCTGCTGCCCCTTTTGTCAATCCCTTGGGTGCTTCCCCTTTGTCAGCAGTGTCCAGCAGCCAGCGCTTGGACTACTTTAACCAGTTCAATGCCGCCTTTGCCCCGACTGCTCCTGCTCGCATCCTGGCTGCTGCCCCATTTGCTTCTGCTGGCACCCGCCTCATTCAACCAACTCGTTTGATTGCTCCAGGAGTAGCGGCACCATATTTCTTTTAAAAAAAACTCAAACACTTTGCCCTAAATGTTTAATTTATAAATAAAAGTACATGTTGGTTAACCACGAAAACTGTGTCACGACCATGTCTTGAATGGGTTTCAACTTTTGCTTAGTTGGGCACGCGCCAAGTACAGTGAGGTCTCGTAGTATGTGTAAATTTTTATAAAAACTATTAAGCATCATTAAAAATAATAAGCCCTGAGTAAAAAGCATAAAGCTCACAATCGTTTTCGAACTAAATATATTGCATTGCTGGTAGGGCACAATCAATATAAAATATATTTACATTAATATACTTATATTTTTTATTTCAATTAATAAAAAATTGTACAAAATTTATGTTTTTGTTAGAGAAAAAACTTGAAGTATTTGATAAATGTTTTATAAGCCTTCATAGGCATATACAATTAATTTCATTCGGTATGGATTTTTATCACAATAGATTAAAGGTGGGTTGTGAATATAAAACCCTTATCTGGATCCAAAAATCACCAAACACCCTTGTAGCCATATCCATAGTTATATGTGGGATAGTAGTAGGGATAGGTGTACTGATAGGTCGTGGCATATGGATAATTGTAGGCGGGATATGAGGGATAAGCGGGATAGCCACCGCTGTACTTATAGTAGGTGTTCGGATAGGTGGCCACCACCGGGGTTGTGGTCACATGAGGGCGAATCCAGTTCCGTGTTACAAACTGATGACTGGTGGCCAAGGGAACCACGCCGGGAACAGCAGCAGGAACCGCCGGAATCACTCCAGTTGTGGCAGTTGCTATGCTGGCACTGGACAGCATCAGTCCCAGCAGCAAGTAGCCCAAGATGGTGGCTAGTACCTGGAATATTATAATGTTCTTGTTATATATATATTCAATTTAATTAACCCTAAGCTGACTTACGATATTCATGATGAGGCTTTAAACTGGAATAACTGCCCGGGCCACTCGATCACTGGTCACTGTCCACTCGTAAGCCATCCAAGTGGCTTTTATAGCACCCCCCGATTGGATTTGACTTTCAAATGCAGTTGCCCGTTTACGGATGAGCAACCATTTTTGGGCTACCACCTCGTCCAAGGGCAGATTTGCATTCCCAAAGAAGAGAAGCCAACAAAGCTTGGAGGGTCTTCTATATATATAAATATCTTTATTGGGATGACGCAAGCGGAATTTGCAACTACACAAAGGCTACTTGCCATTTAATTATGCTGCAATCCATTGATCGAACCCATTGATGACAACAACTGGGTAAATAAAGCGATTCTTGTTCTGAAATTTCGGCTGGCTATATAAACAGATCAGTAAATGGTGTAAAAGCACATACTGTCCAGAGGTGAAGCTACAATGAAGCTACAATTGGCACTCCTCTTGTTTGGCTTGACTTTGGCCTTGGGCCAGATTGTTCCCCGAAGTAGCTGGACTCCTGTGCCGCTCTCTCCGAGATTGCCAAGGCTGATGGGACCCGTTCGACTCATAATCGTCCATCATACGGTCACGGGTCCTTGCTTCAATCCTCATCAGTGCCAATTGGCTCTGAGGCGGATTCGAGCCGATCATCTGCGCAGGAAGTTCAGGGATATAGGCTACAACTTCTTGATCGGAGGCGATGGCAGGATCTACGAAGGATTGGGCTTCGGCATACGGGGCGAGCATGCACCCAACTATAATAGCCAATCCATTGGCATCGCTTTCATTGGCAATTTCCAGAGTGGGTTATTAATTAACTTATTATTATTAACTGTTAATTGTTGTTTATTATATCCTAATTTAGCTGGCCTACCTCCGCCTCAGATGCTCCAAGCTGCCCGAACTCTCATCCAAATTGCCGTGCAGCGTCGACAAGTTTTGCCCAATTATGCTCTGGTGGGACATTGCCAAACGAAGGCCACAGCCTGCCCCGGAAAACACCTTCTGGACGAGCTTAGAAAGTGGCCTCGCTGGCAGCCAAAACCTTATTAGAAAGTAATCCCTCCCAAATCCTCATTGCGATTGCAATAAGTCTGAATCGAATATTTGAATGTTCAATTTTTTTTCATATACACAAATTTCCTTAATTTCTTCACCCTTTTCCATTGAAAAATGTATGTAAATATTTAAATCTTTTATAGAATATTGGCAAATAATAAGAAAAAAAATTATAATTAATTATTACCTTCATATATTTCTACCCTTGGGTCTACTTAAGGTTACAATTTTTTATTTAAAAAAAATGAAAAATAATATGAACGATAAGTTATTGAGCTATAAAGAGTTAATAACCCCAAATCTTGATTATTTTATTGTAATACAAAAATTCTTTTAATCTCTTCACCCTTTTCCATTGAAAAGTGTATGTATAAGTATAAATTATTGGCAAACATTAAAATAAAAAAAAAACTGAAATGAATTATTATCTTCTCCAATTTAATGTGTTACAAATACAAATTTTGTGTTATTTTATAAGGTTTAAAAAATTGTGAAACTATAAGCACGACTGATTATTAACTTGACATTGTGCTGTAATTTTGATATTATCCAAAAAAGGTATTGAGATATTTTAATACCAAATCATATATATTTGATTGTTAAGAAAAGCTAATTGCTTTTAACTAAAATCAAATTAATTTTCCCTTTGAAACATTTGAAATACATTTTATACATTTATTATAGCAACATTTTTATAATATTGGAAGGGTATTACTTAAGCAAATTGTGGACTTATTTTTGCCTCCAGTGGGGCCAGGTCTTAATCTCATTGAAGAGGGCATCTCCCGGGCAGGAGGTGGCCTTGGTCTGTCGATGGCCAAACAACGTGTAGTTGTCCTTGAGGAATCCGCGCTGCTTGGCCAGCTCGATCAGATCCTTGGCATTCTGGAGCATCTGGGACGAGGGAGCGGTGCTCTGGAAATTGCCAATGAAGACGATGCCGATGCTATTGCGGTTGTAGTTGGGGGCATGTGATCCCTGGAGTCCGAAACCACGACCCTCGTACACCTTGCCATCTCCGGCCACAATGAAGTTGTAGCCAATGTCGCTGAAGTTCCTGCGACCCTTGTGATCCGACTGGATGTTCTTAATCATGCGCTTGCACTGATCGGACGTGGAGCAGCCATTGGGATTGTCCGAGTGGTGGATGATCACATAGTCGACGGCACCCGAAATCCTCGAGGGCGAACGAGCAGCCACTGCTCCCCAACTGCTGCGGGGCTCAATCTGCAGGGCATCGGCGGAGAGAGCTGATCGGAGGAACGATGGTGATTAGCTAACCCGGTTTTAGGTTTAAGCACAATTTGAATTTGATTGATTACCTATGGAGCAAAGCGCCAGAGCAGCTACAAACTTGATTGCCGTTGATGTGTTCATCGTTTCGAGATTGGAGATTCTATGAAATTCTCTGGCTTACGGATGCTGCTTAAATAGGCAAAAAAGACGAAGGTGGGTATCGAAACTTAAATACCCATTAAAAAAAATATAATCTTAAATATGTCTTTGTTTAAGCTTTTAAATTAATATATTTGTGAATCTTTGATTTTGGCCAACTCCCACGATTTCATATCGATTGAACTAAGCTAGCCATTAAAACATTAAACAGTTTTAGTTAAATGAAAAGTACTACTAACGGAGACTACCTTTAAATGTTTAGATAGCTTAGCTAAACACCTGTTTAATCAATTGAAATACATATTATACTGCAAATATGGACTCGCCACATTAAATTGATTACGAAGAGAGTTAAATATCATACGTTGTAGTTACCTAACTGGCTTTATAAAAAGAGAACTAATATTCAGGAAAATCAAATTTTTTACATATTTGTATGAGTTTCTAAGTATATTAAAATAGTGAACAAGAAAATGCTTAAGCTCAGACTAATACATTTTTTTTTAACAACAATTTGTAATACAATTAATTTTAGAAACAAAAAATGTTGTTTTAATATTTTAAGGGAAATACCTAAGAAAGGTGTCATGCTCCCCGAAGACAAAACTACCTTTAAACAGGGTAGCAAACACCGATTGCGGTGAAGACCCTGCTGGGGAATCACTTGCGCCCCCAGAGATAAGAAACTGCTCCCGGAGACCCCGAACAAAAGCTCACGCTACACAAAAAACATTTGGTTGGTTATTTACATTATAATATTAAAATAAACTAAAATAAACAACATCTGCCAAACGGTATTTCCAAGTATTACTTCTCGATGGCCTTTCGGCTTTTGGCGATTTTTTGTTTCTTGGTTTCCCTTGGACGGGAATTCGGTTTGACTTTTCTGAGTTTTGTCTTTTGTTTTTCGAAGGGATCCACTTGTTGAGCACCGCCCGCTTTGAGCTGAAGCTTTTCCATCAGCGTCAGTGGACGATCGGGAACGTCGATCTGGTTTTTATGGACCAATGCCTGATTGGCTACACGCCGCTTCTGCACTGCCTTCTTGGTCTTCTCTTGCTGCTGGCGATTGCGCAGTTTGTCCAATGCTCTTTTGTAGTCATGTGAATGTTGCACCTCAATGTCTGGCGATACGTGGATCTCTTCGCCAGGCGCTTTGCCCACATCATGGAGCATTTTCGTGAACGCAGCCTGGTCCTGTTCGGTGAGCAGGGTAACTGCCGTACCCCGTCTTCCCGCACGGGCCGTTCTACCCACTCGATGGATGTGGGTCTTAATGTGGCGAGGCGCCTCGTAGGACAGGACCACATCTATATCGGCCACATCGATACCACGCGCCAGGGCATCTGAGCAGATCAGTCCATTCAGCTTGCCGCTAACAAAGCTGGCAAGGGTCTTGTTGCGAACCAGAGCCGAGAGATTACCCGACAACTCGGCCACTTTGGTCGTCGAGTTGCGGAAGAGCGTCGTTAGAACATTTGTCAGGCGAGTGGCCTGATCCGTGCTGTTGGTGAAGCAGAGGAACCGCTTCCACTGGTACTTTTCCACCAAAGCGAACAGGGTCAGCGGTTTCAGTCGCAGCTCCGTCACGCAGAATTGTTCAGTTAACTCTGCTGGCGTTGTGTATTTTCCCACAAATTGACCCATTTGGGAATTCGTTTCTGGTTCAGCATTTTCTTCGATTACATCCTTCACCACGGGCATGGTAAACACGGTGGTGAACAGACGCGGCTGGAAGAGTCGTAGGTTCTGCAACTTTTCCGGATCTTGCGAAAGCGTGGCCGAGAACAGGAGCTTGTGTGGCTGCTTGCCGAAACTGGACTGAAGTTCCGCATAGCAGAGTGGTGCTTGGGTGCCGGCCAGCAATTGATCTGTGGTCTCCTTCACATGACTGTCCAGGTGATAAAGCCAGTTCTGAAAGACGGCATCCATTATACGATCGGCCTCGTCAATGATCAGAAATTTAAGATTCTTCAGACAAAAGCCCTTGGTGGCATGCAGATGGTCCACCAGGCGACCTAAAGTGAAATTGTTGTTGATGATTAGCTTAAAAGATCTGGAACCCCTTGTTTTGTAAACTTACCCGGTGTGGTCACTACAATGTCCACTTTGGAGTAGTATTTGCCCTTGTACAGCTCCACAAGTTTCTCCTGCTCGTCCTCTAGTTTGTGCTGCTTGGACAGCAGGCAAACCTCCAGCTCTGTTTTGCTGCACAGCGAACTTATGACGCGGTAGACCTGCAGAGCCAACTCTGCCACTGGTAGTACGACCAAGGCCCGAACCTTGCACTCGACGCGTTGCGACAGCAACTGGACAATGGGAATGGCAAAGGCCAGAGTCTTGCCACTGCCCGTGGGAGCCGATACACAAATATCCCTGGGACGAAAGGGCGCTGGCTTGGCATGAGCCTCAAGAATCCAGGGGATAACTTGCCGTTGGACTGGGAAAAGGCGTTGGATCTTCATCTGCTTGAGAGCCAGGCAAGTGGATTTGTTCAAGTAGTCAAGCTTGTCAATGGTCTCTGAAGCTGGTAGCTCCTCCTCTGGCTGTAGACTTCCACCTTCGATGATCGTGGGATGAGCCAGCCAACTGGGCAGCTGCATTTCCACCTTTCTTTTCTTCGTCGCCGAGCCATCGCCTCCGAGAACTTGAAACTCACTTGAGGGCACATCCTTCTCCTCAACTGTTTCCTCGGGGTTTTCTAAGGGTTCAACCTGCTCCTCTGTGGCTTTTGCTTGCGCTTCATCTGGAATTACGGCTTCAGGGGCGGGAGCTTCTATAACTTCACTTTCTTTGGGTTTCCTCTTGCGCTTTGCAGCCTTTTGGAGCAATTTCTGCAGTATTTCATCCTCGTTGTTGGCAATGTCTTGGGTTCCATCTTTGGGTTTCTTTAAATCCTCCGTATATCTAGAAATATTGTGTTGTTATTACTGTTGGTTTTATGGGCCTCAAAATTTACCTGTTTACGGTGAATAATTCCATGATTACGGCTGTTTTTAATTAATAAAACGAGAACGAAGTAAATGCACGTGTTGCCGCCAATTTGTTTACGTTTTTACAACCAGTGTGACCGTACGAGCATTTTGCTTTAAATCCCATTGGCAGGGTTGTCGTGGTGTTTTCAAGCATTGGCGCGCTAATTTAAAAATAGTATAGATAAAAGGTTAAATAACTAAAAACTAATGGGACAGTTGGATAGTAAATTATAGCTGTTTTAAGTTTTATTAAAAGTGAACATGTACCAGTTTTTTGGATAATATAAATGTTAAAAGTTAGAATTATAATTTTATATATCAAATGAGGATTAAATTTAATTTAAACAAACCTATCATAAAGTGCAGATAAGCCAATATTTTGCATTGGGAAGTTTTGTTTTGTCAGGGAATTCATACTTTGTTTTATCTTGCTAATTATTCAAACTGTTGTATTCCAGTTTTTTGGAATAAATAAAATTATTCCCATAACCGCAAGCGGAATAATTGACAACGGGAATAAAAACAGTATTAGTTCATATTCGTGTTTTCAAGGGGTTTTGTAGTTTCCCTTAGATCAAAACACGAAATGCGTTGATGCGTATGCAAAATGCCCACACTTCTTGGGTTTCTTGGGGGATTTTTTGTCAGTCAGTGATTCATAATTGACCCAGAGCTAAAATGCTATACACGTGAGCGGCAGATTTAAAAATAAACAACAGATATAATAAATGATTATGGGTTTAAAACCGGTTAAAAGGTTTTTTACATGCTCCACTAAAAAGAGATTCTTCGGAAGCTCAACATTTTGACGTCTGAATTTGCTAATGAAGTGAAAGATGTGACGAACTTTTTGAAAATGTAATGGCAGCATCTAAACCACATTTTCTTGTTACTAAGGTTGACAGTTTTGTTGTTGTATTTTTAACTTTTATTGCCATTTACGTCCGTAAATTTGTATTTTGAAATACCTCCATTAATCATACAAAGCTCGTTCGATTCGATTCAGTTCAGTGGCAGTTGAACACCTGTGGCACGCCCACACCGTGTGTCAGATCTTATATATAGTAATACTTAGCCCCTTGGGTCAGACTCATAAAATTATGCTTAAAGCTCAATCTTGGTATTCTGCTAACTAAAATAAATAAATAAAATATATAAATTAAATAATAATTGCCAAAACTTACAATAATCTTGTTGACCGCAATATGAAAAACATCTGGAATGGAATACAAATCTTTTCTATATCACGAATCAAAGTTAAGATATTTAATTCACTCAGTGATTATTCAAACAGTATTATTTTAAACCAACTTTCGCTTTAAGCGCTCATAAATTTTAATCTTAATTGGATAAATAAACTTGAGAAAACTATAATGTAATAATCTAATCTGAATAAATGAATAATTAAAATTATTCAAAACTGGTTAAAAAACGCGATATCTATAGGTTCAATTTTTATTGGGATGTGAAAAATATAACCTTTAAGCTGAAAAAAATGACACCATTCTTTTTTAAATGTAAATATGGGCATTTTTAGAAAAGGTCCACCACGACGAAAAAATTAAAAGTTGATAAACTAATGTTTTTTATTTTAGTGTTTATAAAATGTGTTGCTCATGTAAAGAAACATTTTCAAATATTATAATTTATATTCTCGATCCTAAAAATACCCATTAATACTTTTTTCATTTTCTTAAAGATTTTTGTTGTTACGCATAGAAAATATTCCGCTGTGAAGTAATTATAAAAGTGATATTTTTGTGGTGAGACAGAAGTAATAGAATGATATAATAACCAAGTCTGGGCAAGGTGAGGATGCCAAAGTTTCTTTACTGACTTTCAAAACTTCCAGCTCGAATCAGTACCAGGTTCTTGCATTTAGCACATGATTCGGATTAAAATATCAAAACTGGATACGAAGTTATGAAGCGAGTTTGCGGATACGAAAGCTGTCCATATAATGGCTATTGTAAGGCAAAAGAGTCATTGTTCGGTTCTTTTGGGCATATCCAATGAGAGAACGGGTTTCTTTGGCTAATTTCGGTTCCGTTTTTAGTTTCGAACTCCCCAGACGAAGTCTGAGATTGCTTCTGGAACTGACAGCGAACCAAAATCGATCTTATCTCCGTAGTTCCATTAGCTCTTATCATTCCCATCTAATTGCATTTCTCCCACACCTTTTTCACTCTCACTGCAAGAACAGAACTCTCTTCGCTTTATCATTCTTCCGGTGAAAAATTGTGGTTGTTTTTACCTGCACTTGTTTAAACATTGTTTTCGTTTTCCAGTTACTAAAAACTTAATTAAACACTTTCGAAAAGGGAATAGGGAGAACTACGTAGTACTATTAATAGTGTCTAGTATTTAACGTGGTAAACTTGATTCTTGTCAGTAATTTACGTCATATTTGGGAAACATAAAAAATATCAATACTTTTTAGATAATATTTGATTACTTAATGCACTAAACGTGCCCTTAGTATTCATTTTACATCTTGTTAAATTGTTACTAAAGGTAGAAATTATATGACCGATCGACGAACTTTGTTTAATGAGATGAGCTTGCTTTCTGTGGATATTTTATGACTAATTTACGAAAGATAAATAAATCTTTTAAAAATCAGATTGTATAGATAGTGTTTGCTCAGAACCTTAAATATTTGTATGTATGATCAATGGTTTTAAGGCAATATTCCACTAATTAATGCGATAAACGTGTCTTTTATACTTAAAAGCTAACAAGCAATACAATAAAACCTATAATAATTCCATAATCGTGCCTTTTGTGGATATTTATGGCTCCAATGGGGTATTTAATATCTTTTAATTTATGCTTAGCCGGTGGTTGTTTTAATATTGCTACATTTCCTTTTCATTTTGGGTGGGATTGCTCTTATGTTTGCCGGGAATTAAAGATCCAGAACCTTTCCATTCCTCTCTCTCGATTTGACGTGACCGGTAAATGCAAAAATTGAAAATCAAACAAAGCAAAACGCGAGATAAAAACAAAAATGATAATAATAACATCGACACCTGTCGGTGATCTCCACTGGCAAAAAAAAATAAACTGATGGAGAGAAAGAGAGGGAGTGAGAACTTGTCTATGACTCGATGCCCGTCGATCGCTTTATAACGGTAGGACATAAAAGCGACGGAGTTCATTTGCCAGCGTTTCGCGGTAACTCGCTTTTCGAATCGCAATCGCTGCTCAGTAAAAAGCGGGGCAAAAAGCGCGAAAAGTTCAGCAGTTGACGAAAAAGTTTAAGGCAATAATCTCGGTTTGTCTGCCTAAAGTTTTCGTTTTTAACAAATTAGTTTCGCGTTTAAGGATATCACAAAAAAAAAAAAAACAAACATGATGAAATTTATATTGCCCTTATTTGTGCTGATTGCTTCGTAAGTGTCAATTTTAGATAACTAAAACCTAAACTTAAAATACTGTGTAATAATCGGAAATCAAATTCTTAAATTGAAATTGGGTGCAACTCTAGCTTAGTTAATATGTTAGTATTACTAATTTTTAGCTTAAATTAAATTCTCATAAAAAAGCTTTCAGTAAAGTTTTAAAATTGTTCACCAGTTATAGTTAAAGTTTGGTCCAAAGTTATTGTTGTATCAAATTTATTTTCCATTTTTATTTAACATTTTTTGAGAATTTATGATTTCTTAACAATGTAAAAATTGTTCGTAACCCATAATATTGGTTTCCCTAATCGATTTTAAAAATTTCTCATTAGAACAAACTAAGTCGTTATTCAAATTGAAATATCAATTTTTTTTCTATCAATCACAACATTGTTGCCAATTAAGTTAGTGATTTTTTTTTTAATTTTAAACAATGAAAGCAATATTAATCATGTGATCTGTAAAACTTGTGCAAATTGAATTACTTAAGAAAAAACGACCTGAAATCTGATTCAAATTGCTTTGGCATACCACAAAGCTGCCAAAAAAAGCGAATTTGGCTCAAAGAAAGCCCCAAATCTAGACTGACCTTGACCAGCCAATCGACAATTGATATAAATGACTGGCCAAGATCATAAAAATATATACAAAATCTAAAAGTAAATACAAATTGTCGTAACATTCGTCAATTTTGAATGTCACTTGATTAGCAGTGGCTTTGGCTAAGAGCAGATTCAGCAACATCTTGCGATTATTATTATATTTTTACATTATCTTTACAGATGTCTTGGCAGTCCGGTGAGCGAAACTCGTCGCTTTCCCAGCGACTTTCTCTGGGGCGTGGCATCTTCATCCTACCAGATCGAGGGAGGCTGGAACGCGGATGACAAGGGGGAGTCGATCTGGGACTTTCTCACCCACACACGTGCCGATAAAATAGTCGATCAATCAAACGGTGATATCTCATCGGATAGCTATCATCAGGTAAGCCGAGAATCGCATCACGTCGCTATTGGTTAGTGGGCAATGCGAAAATGGTAGTATTCAGAATCAGTAGTCGATTTGTTTGCCATTGGAAGTTGTGCAAAGAGTTCAAGATCTCCAGTCGACTGGCTGGCTGAGGTAATCGACTGGAAAATATGTGAGCAATTCGCAATTGATGCACTCAGATGGCTATTAGTTACACAGCTAATTACGTGATATTATCTAGAGCTTTTGACGCTGATCAAAGGAGATGTATTTGAAGAATTGATCTGTGACTTGATCTGAGTCGCAAGAGATCAGTTTTATACAATTCTAACATTGAAGCAATTGTTCAAGCATAACCCTACGAGACTAGTAAATTTAAGTCATTTGTTTTTATTCTTTAATGATTTGAAATGGTGACGGTGAGTTATTAAAAATAAAGACTAAATATTAGGAGTAAGCGATCATATTTTAATTCCTCAAAATAATCGATCTTAGCTTAGCATCTGGGATTGAGACATTAATAATAATATTTTAATTTACTTACCTTTTTTTATAACACAAGTTCCTATAATTTTCCAGATTTGTCGGCCTATTCAATTTTAAGTAGCTCTAAAGCCAATGATTTTACCCATTAAAAAATGAATAGCTATTAGTTTTAAGTATCAGCTTCTGAGAGAGGTAGAAACAAGATAATCTCGAGACATGCCCCCAATCAATTTGGAGCCAAGATCATTGGTCAATTATGTTTTAATAACATAAACACAAGCAATAACCATAATTCAAATGCCTATTCCAACAGGCCATAAAATCATCCTAATGTGTGGACATGCGATACAACTCGAACAATGTTGAATCCCATTACAGGCCGTAAAATAATTTGCATAGTTCTGACCACAAAACCATTAACGAAGAGTTGCATAAATCATGAGCAGCAGGCGTTTGGCGCGGGGACACCTGCTACGAATTTTGTTTGATTAACTAATCCGTTCTGATAATCAACTTGCCTTTCAGCACTTTGAATTTGCAGCATTTGTCCGGTCAACAGATTAATGACTCGCGAGATCAGTGCTGAATTAATGATCTTCTTACAATAAACCGACTTAAAGGGCAGATCAACAATGAGGCGTGACTTGTTTGTGGGCCTGAAACGGAACTAGAAAAGTGGGGGACATTTTTGATACAAAAATGTTGTACAACAATCTGGTTAGACCAGATAATGATCATTGCAAACTTGTCTCCATGCTCTCCGTTTATTAAGCATTTGTCCCATTTTCCAGACAGACTGATATGAATAGATAAGTAAAGTGAGCACACTTTTAGTTATGATACAGGGAGACATAAATGTTGGTCTGGTTTATTAAGGCATTAAAAACCTAAGATTTTTATTAGATTAAATAAGGTTAGTTGGTTCTTTTAATCAGGGATTTTAGTTAAGAATATAGATAGTGACAGACAGTAATCAAAGCGTATTAAAAAACCCATTTTAATTAATCAATGCTCACAATATAAATAATAAAAATAAAGTAGAATTTTCGATAATTTGAATTAATCATCTTGATCTCCTTCCAAGATTCACCATAGTATCTGTTTTAAGAGGAATTCACATTGAAATAGTTGCATTGATTAATCGACATGGCATGGCTGTGCAACATTGTATCATAATTTGCCAGCTAATGCCAATCAGAGTAGCCTAACTGATTTGGTTACAGGTGCCAACTGTTGTATTTGCCTCAGGTGTTGCTGTTTTTTTTTTTTTTGTCAGCCTATTAGCTTTTTATAGTCGTAAGCAGTGGCAGTCGATTTGATAAATGGATTAAATGGATGTGGGACCGACAGCTTAAACGCCCCTTCCTTTCATATGCAACGCTCGCCGATCGCGATTTGAATTGTTTTCATATCAATGTCACATAATTAGCAAGAGTAGGAGCCAAAGCCAAAGCCAAAGTCGGAGCTGCAGGCCATGTTGTGACAATGACCATTGGGCGTGGAATGTGTCGCCAATGTCTGGCCAACTGGTTTTCCATTACCATTTGCGGTTTTTCGGAAATTTGGCATTGTTACAAAGAAAACCAAATCAATTCGCAGCAAACACGTCCACATGCTGTAGTCTAGTTTTCCGACATTTAAAGTGTCCACTTGCATGTTTATTTATTTGCCCACACTAACAATTTAAATGCCACTGGACATTCATGTGATTACTTTGATTTGTCTATTTCAATTACTAAATTGGGTTGGTTAGCTTCGATTAGATTTCATGATCTAACCAAACAGGCGGATTTTAAATGACCAAACTCTTAATGGCTTGTTTTAAATTTTATTTTATGGTTAATGTGTATTTTATCATATAAATGGGGTAGGGGAAATATCGCAAAGTATTGTTTTAATTACCAAAACGTTAGAGGGGATTTTTTACTTTTGATTAGACAAGTTAGCTTGATTTTAATGCCTTAATAATACAACTCTTTTTATAGTTGTAAACTTATAATTGCCTTATTAATCTTAGATATCTTAGATAGTTACTATACTGTATATAAAAAGTTAAGAAATTCATTTAATTTAATTTCTTAAAAAAACCATTGATAGTAAACAAATTTTAAAATTTTACTAATTAATTGTGATAATGATATCTTTCAGTGGAAACGCGATGTGCAAATGGTAAAAGAACTGCATGCTGGCACGTACCGCTTCTCCTTGTCTTGGCCCCGGATAATGCCAGGTGGCTATATGAATCATGTCAGCACGGCGGGCATTAAGTACTACTCAAACCTGATCGACGAGCTGCTCCGGTACAACATCACTCCGATGGTGACCATCTATCACTGGGATCTGCCGCAAAGGCTTCAAGAGCTTGGCGGCTGGACCAACCCGGAAATTATACCGCTGTTCAAGGACTACGCCCGTTTGGTGCTGGAAATGTACGGCGATCGGGTGAAGATCTGGACCACCGTCAACGAGCCGTGGCATGTGTGTGAGCACGGTTACGGAGTGGACTATATGGCACCGTCGTACAACTACCCCGGCATTCCGGCCTATCTGTGTGGCCACAATTTGCTGAAGGCCCACGCCGAGGTGGTGCACATGTACCGGGAACTCTTCCAGTCGCGACAAGGGGGACGCATTGGCATCACTCTGGACACATCCTGGCCGGAGCCCAAGGATCCCAATTCTGCCGAGGATCGCGAGGCCTCCGAGCGAGCCATGCAGTTCTATGTGGGTTGGTTCGGTCATCCCATCTTCTCCAAGCACGGCAACTATCCCAAGGTGATGATCGAGCGGATTAGGAATCTGAGCAAGGAGCAGGGCTTCGGTGCTCGCTCCAGATTGCCCGAGTTCACCACGGAGGAGATCCATCGTATCCGCGGTACCTCTGATTTCTTCGGCATTAATTCATACACCAGCAACCTGGTCACCCCGAATGGACACAATAATACGGGCAAGTTCCCGGTGCCGTCTTTCAATCACGACATGGGCGTGGTCGAGAGCCAGGCTGGCGTCGACTGGCCCGGTTCCGGATCCGTTTGGCTTAAGGTGAGTTTGAGAGGTCTTACGATTTTTAAGGGGAAAATATAATGTAGGAGGAGAAATTATGGAGATAATACTGGGAACTTTACGATCTAGAAAAATCTCAAACAGAAAATATGGGAAATGAGGGTTAAATGAATAAATTCAAATATGGTTTATAGGAAAATAGCGAACAGTAATAATAAAAATCTGACAATATATCAGGTTCTTGTAGCTAAAAGTGTGGGAATTTACTTTTTGATTTCTGATCAATTTCATATCTCTTAGGATTTTTTTTAGGTCGCTTTGTCATTAAAAATACATTTATTTTCTTACTTGAAGTGTATTATAATATAAATTCAATGCCAGAAAATTGAGTTACATTTTTTTTATAACTATAAATAGGTTTCCTTTTAAGCACTTTAAAAGTTTTGTAGCTACAAGAGTTATTAAATTATGAGGTCATGAAAATGGTCCACAATTTTACACAAGAACCATGTTTCCTTCATCTCGACGACTTCAATTATCTTTCGCTTAGTCGGCTAAATTGATTGTGGCTCACCCTCTGGAGACGAGAGATGGTAAATCCCTCACGTCCACGATGAGGTTGTGTAATTAACTTGGTGGAGTGACTGGAGCCAACTTGAGGGTTGACTTATCCCCACTTACAGTTTGAATTATGGTTTGTCGAGTAAACTACTTAGGCAGGAATCAAAAAGGGGGTGACTTTTTGGCCAGGTGGCGCGGGCGGACAGGTGAATGAACTGCACTAACTGGGGGTTGTGCCCCGTACTTTGCTCCGTTTTTGCAGGTCTATCCCAAGGGAATGTACAATCTGTTGATGTGGATACACCGCGAGTACAATGCACCCGAGATAATTGTCACGGAGAATGGCGTTAGTGATCGCGGCGGTCTGGAGGACTACGCCCGTGTGGACTACTACAATCTGTACCTCTCAGCGGTGCTGGATGCCATGGAGGATGGTGTCAATATCAGTGGCTACATTGCCTGGAGTCTGATGGACAGTTATGAGTGGAAGGCCGGCTACACGGAGAAGTTTGGACTGTATCACGTGGACTTCAGTTCGCCGGAGCGCACAAGAACTCCCAAGATTTCTGCGCGAGTCTTTGCCAAAATCTGCAAGACCAACACCATCGATTGGAGCTACAGACCCAAGCTCGATGACGAACAGCAGCTGGTGGCCATGGCTCAGTTGCCGGCAGAGGAGCAAATGGCCAGGACAAGTGGTGCCAGCGGAGCCATCAGTTGGAGTCTGACAACCCTTCTGCTCCTGGCTCTTCTTCGATAGGCGAAGAGATGAGGGGATGAGGGGATGATGAGTCATGCCATATTCAACTTGTCGATGCCAAGCATTGATCGCTACTCGTAGCCCTAAGTTTGTCTAACCATCAATGTAATGTATATAAATGTTCTAATTTGTACATAAGTTATAAGACTCGAAACTGAATAAAACTATTTTGTGATATAAAAATCAGGCTTCTGTAGAAAGTGAAAATAACTAAAAGGTTTGTGCATTGAAAAGTAAAAGAAAAATATATATATTTTATTAAAAGGAATATATACTAGTTAAAATTAAAGTTTTATACACAAAACAAAAGCGATGAAAACCCCCTAACATCTATAAATTTATAAATTATAATTAAATAAAAGACCTACTTGACAATTTAAAATCAAACTCAATAAAGCATTTTGAATATTAATGGCCTAAAAAATAGGAAATGAAAAGAACAGTCTATTTTCTTAAAATTCAAATACATCAAAATTAAATTATCGTAAACAAATAAATTTAACATATTACCAATTCTATGAAAAGTATTATAGATTAGCCATACAAAAGCATGAGAATTGATCTAAAAACCTTGAAAGATCTTCGGTAGGAAGCCGAGAATTTCCATTCACCGCAAAGTTCATTCAGATGCTAATGCAGCCCTATTAGAGGTCTCCTAATTCTTGAAAGATCCAAATTGACATTTACATTTTGTAAATTCAATGAGCTGTCTTCCAACATTTCCGCAAGTAAATCAAACACAGCCAATAAGCCAACAAAAAATCCAATGATCTGTGATCTTTTTGATCACAATGAGCCCCGATGCATGGGTATTATATCATCGCGATGAGGTCGGCCTGGGGGCTAATTGTAGGGGGTATGTGTGTGGACATTGGTCCAGCATGAATTTGAATACTTAGATCCCTGTGCTAATGACTCTGATTAAATCACACGCTTATGCATATGAAGGTTTATTCTTTGCATGATCACAATATCCGCCTGGCCTTAGTTTAGTCAAGAAACTTTCAAATCGGAATCGAAAGCGGTACGGGATCTCATGTACGCGGTACATAGATTTTTATTAACGTGTTTATTTCCCTCCAGAACCAGTTACCTTTCATTTTGGGTAATGTTCTATCTTATTTACACTTAATTTTTTATGCATTTAGCCGGATTTATTGTTTCAGTTTGCTCAAGTCACACGAAAACTGTTGAATAAATTAAGCAATTTTTGCTGCTGTAGGGGAAACATTAATATGCCAATGTCAGGAGGTGAAAGGCTGAAAGGCGGGTACAGGGAAATGCTGCTGGAGGAGGGGCTCGTCTAGAGTCTGGTCTCGACCCGCCTGGCGTGCTCCCCGTGCGATTGTGCACCTGTTTGAGTCACGAGCCGGCGCTGGGCATATTCATAATTCATCAGCCCAGCGTCTGGGGCTGGCAACTGAAACTGGAATATAGAATAGAACTAAGGGCTCCTATCTCAAAGGTTTATACATAGAAAATAAAAGCCAAGGCGTTTGAAAAGGCCATACAAATTAGTTATTCAATGTGAACATTGAATTTCTCTTGTAGACAAAATAAAGTTTAATATACAATAACTTTTATTTATAAAACAAAAACTAAGCAACAAATGCCAACGAATTTAAATTTACTTCTACACAATATATAGACAGAATGGGACATAAAATTTAAATTATTAAAGCAATAAAAATAACTAAATATTCTTTAAAACAGCAAAACCTTTAAACCTTTATAACCTTAAATATAAAAATAGTTTATTGCATGTTTAGAATTAAACGTACAAATCATTCAAACATATATATTTTTTTTAAATTTACTTTTGCAAAAATAAAGTACTATTAATTAATTTGCAAAATAGCAACAAACACAGAATTCCTTTATTTTTTAAAACTTTTTATTAAGCCGGAACTCCGAAACCAAAAGTTCTTCATTTTATTTAATTACCAACGAATTGCGGCGATCAGCCAATAGTTGTTTCGTGGGCCATGATTGATGAGGGTCAATTGGTCAGCAGAAACCAAGAGAGTATTAATCAATAAAACGAATAGATCCGTTTCAATTTTCGAGATCCCCCTTTTTCCCTTTATGGACACCACTGTACCAGAGCACACAACATAAGCAAACAATGTTGTTTGGATGTTCTCAACTGTTTTACCTCTTTTTTTTTGTGTGGCGATTTTACACCGACGCAATTTTACAGGGCATTGCATCAGCCAAAGTTTAGTTAAGTTCAAGTAGGTTGAGTGGTTCCAGCACGAACTTGGCGAAATTTAAACATGTGATTCATGCACGTGGTTTTGTTTCTATTGAAAAGGTCAGAGCGTGAGTAATATAAATAAATCCAGAATAAATACAGATCACGACCTTCATGGAGATTAAAATCTGCATTTAGAGTTTAAAAGTATAATATAGGTATTACGCATTTTAGTCAATTCAAAGTATGGGCTTTTCAAGGGTTGCGGTCGCAAAACTTTTAAGCTGCAGATTTTTTGAATTTATAACAAGTAAAGAAATGTTTTTTTAATCATTTTCTGAAAATGTACATCTTAAGTAAATAAAGCAAAAATTTAAAGTTTATATTACACTTTAAACGGTGTAACCGATTCATAAACGGTTAAGCGGGTTAAATGGTTTGTGCATTGGATAAGGTAGGTATCTAAAATTCTTGGCATACTTTTGGGCAGCAAAGTGTGCAAACTTTTTAATTGTTCCATTGATTATAATATAGATGATTATGAATTTTCTAAAAGGTCAAAAAATTCAGTAACTAAAATTATATCTGGATTAAAACAAAATAGTTCAGATGTTTAAACACATACGATTGTTTAATTAAGTTATTGGTAATAAAATAACGCATATAAAACTAATAAAAGTAAATATATATAAATATAATATTTTTGGTACGTAGAAATTCACTCATATATTGAATAATGGAATATAAAAGCCTATTGATTTTAAGCTTAAAGATTTACCAATTAGTGGTTACATTTGCCATGTCACGTTGCGATTACAGAAAGTCACGTTTACAGGATAGATGCATCTCGGCCCTTTCCAACATCCAGGATTAACGCGCTGCGCCATTTATCAAACATTTCATAGACCTCAATGCACTTATTGAAAATTAATACGGCTTAAGACCCACCATAGTGCAAAAATCAGCACACATGCTTTCCCCCTGATCACCACCCTCTAGTTTTTGTCCTCACATTAATCCCGCGAACAAGGCATTAAAAGGGAACACTGGAGCTAGACAAACATCTGTCCAGGATGCGGATGGTGGCCTGGGCAAAGGATTAAATAACAATAAGTGATAAACTAAATTAAAAACAAGAGTTCGCTGGGATTGGTAAGGTTCCACCATCAAATTCGTTTTGAAGAAAATTTAATAGAGAAAAATTACTTTCCAATAGCAACAAAGGGCAATCAAGTTAATAATGTGTACACAGATTTCTGTGGCCCCTTGGTTAATTTGATTTAGATTTACCCACAAAAAATAAATAAAAGGGAGAATGCGGGCAATCGTAGTCCTAACAAAATCAAATTTTTCATGCTCTTTAAACATAAAAACAAAATTATTTTTAAATTGTGTTGATAAAATAGTAAATATTACAATAATTTTCTGTGCATGTCATAAACTATATTTATTCAAAATACTTTACAGTTATTTGATATTCTGAACATTCCCTTGATTGAGAAAATTCGCTGATTGACTTTACTTTACCCCTATATATGATGTTGGAACACCATAATTACCACAACGTAGCAATTGAGTTAACCCTTTAAAATCAATACTCAATTACATCATTCACCAATATAAATTTTCATAAACTGCTGCACTGATTGAAACATTCTCATGAAATACATAGCCCTTATTATTTGGGTGCTTCACTTCACCCAACACACCCGACTTGTATGTTATGTCACTTCATAGTCCCCCCCTCTCAAGAAGATTAAGTTTGGCGATAAAGTATCATTGAATCATTGAGTTTTGTGCTTTTCGTTGGGTCGTTAAACGGCATCCATGTCTACAGAGTTGTATAGAAAACACAGTTCCCCTCGTATTTGGTGACGTTTGGTACTTTTCTGGACAACAAAAGAATGAGAAGAGCACCCTCATACTATTATAGAGCAACTGTTCGGTATGGAAATGGTTTTTAGAGCCCCCCATTGCAGATATCAGAGTTCTTGGCATTTCAATTGGTATTCCCATAAATCTTTCCCGAACTTTGACCGAGGCATGGGAAAAATTGGACATAACTAGAAATGATCCTTTGGGTGCGATTGCCAGGACCTCGTGCATTTCATTACAAATGGGATTTTCGAAATGAAACACTGTAAAACAGGAAAGAAAGGTTTATTCTCCCGTCAGCTGTTTTCTAAACCCATAAAATGCCAGGAAACAATCGTTAAGGAGGAAAGGTGCGACGGTTGAAAGGGAGGGTTGAGGTTCCTAATAGAACGTGCCAAGATCAGAAGGCAAGGCAGCTGAACCTTCCCTCCTTCTGTATTTCAACAAACAAAAAAAAATCTCTCGTATTTTCCAGCCCAAGTTCATTGCACTTTTCTCCGCTTCGATTTTGCTATAATGACAAACCAATTACCAGCTAAAAGACCTGGACTTGGACGTGGACTTGGTTTGCGACACGCACGTTTGTCAGAGGAGTCCAGGCGACGGTTTGATTGCGCAACAAATTGGACAAACGACGCATGTCACCCCTTTTTAGGATGGAAAACAGTTAGAGCCATATTTAAGCCAGTGACAAATGTTCGTATCTAAGTGATGAGGACATGTTTTGTAGTTTATGCGTCGATTGATTGGATTTTTTGTGAGCATAGGATGTGCAAAAGAATTAATATTTTTTGATTTTTAAAAAAGGTATTATAATTTTTCCCATTCTTAGTTTATTTCTAGTCAGAATTTTTTCAAATAAATCTTGATATCTTTAATCAACATAATTTTTATTCTTTAAAAATTAAAGTAAAGAAAAACCTTTTGAAATCAGTTCAAAATACTTTTAGCTTATCATAAGGACGTTAAAACGTCTAGGTATTTTAAATTTTTATTCATCTTTACAATCTTTATTTTTATTTGAAATTATACCAAATTTATTCAAGATCATTAACACCGCATAAACGTGACGATAAGTCCAGTGGACTACTGTACCCAGTTTCGTTTGAGAGACACTCAGTTGTGAAATCAACCACCAAAATCAGCAGGGAATCTGTGTGCGAGATGACAACCCTGTTTGAATCGCGGCGCCTGCGCAGCTGCCGCTACTATCCCGATCTAGGGAGCACACCATATATGTAGGCCATAACTATAGCCCTCCCTCCTTCAAATCCTGTTTTTCAAAAAGTCTCTTTCCAAATATGTCGCCGCTTTGTCTGAAATTTCACGCAAAAGATATTGCGTGTGTGTTGGCAACTGCTTATTGATCGATCGCCTCGATATCGAATTTTTATTGTTGTTTGTCATTGCAAATGCGCCACCATCGAACAACAGAAGGGATAAAAGAGGCGAAGGATGGGCCATTGTTCGAGGGGTTTGGATTCCTCATCGGGGGTTGCTTCCCTTTAGTTCGGCTCAACTGCAATTGCAGTTTTACAGTTACCACTGGAGGGTTACTTTTGCCATGTTCATGTCGTAACCACCCTTAGTTTCTTTTAGCTCCCGTCCGTCCGATTATCATCGCCTGGGAATACGAATACGCGGTCCTTCGAGTAGAACCGCTCTTAAATTTCGCTTTTTCGGGATTTCGGTTTCGATGTTGGTCCGTGCTATTGCACATCTTCCCACCATTTGGCATATCCCTTATTTGTATATTTTGATTCCAAACTAGAAATCAACTTTATTGATTTTATGCATGCTTCTAGCACTTAACTGTTATTGTAGCTTAGCTGCACTTTTGTTTTGCCGATTTATTGGATTTGGGGAGTATTAAGAGTGAGAGTTATGGTTTCGATGCGAATGAGTAGATTAGGAATCAAGATTTATTTATAAAGCGTACACATCTTATACACAGAGCAAATTAAGTTCTAAAACAGGATAAAAAATTTGTTAGAAGTAAACAAATATTTTAGGATTTGGTTTAAGTATAATAAATGGTATTTGCAACTAAAGCTAGTAGTTTTCTCTAAAATTATGCTTTTATATAATAAGCAACAAATTGAAAAATTTTTCCGAATAATGAAGATAGTATAAAATTCGCAAATTGTAGGTGTGTCAAATTTTGGAAGTTCTATAAATATATAATCCATGGTAATAAAGTCAAATAATACAACGCTGGTAAAATTTAGAGCCTACTTAAATCACTTGATGTGCTCGCAATAACAAAATCAAACTCGATGATTTTAAGGGCCGTAAAACTAATTCTAATCGATGCCATTAGGTTTTCCCTCCCCAATAAGAGCAAAACATTCGGTGATCATGTTAGCCCATTGAGATAAACGATCGCTCATTTGTAGCCACTGCAAATTCCACCGCTCGTTATCTTCCACCGGCAATCTCACGCAACTTGACCACCACCACTGGCCACCACCGCTGCTGACCATGGTCCATGGATCTCGATGCAGCAGTTCTGGGCACGACCGACATGCAATGGTTAATTGTTTTCCCTCTGCTGGATTTCTCAGCCCTGCTACCGCCCACTGGGCCTCTATCTTCGAATGGCCAACAGACAGAGGTAGTGTTAATTTATGACGCACCTAAAAGTGGTATACACGTACATATATACAGTCCACACCTCGGGGCATATATCAGAATGACGTATCGTTAGAACCGGCCACATATCACACTTTGCAGCTGCCCGGGATTCGAAAAACCGAGCCAAGCTTTGTTCGCTACTCTGCTTACATAACCCAGAGAACTGGCGAGCCGGGGACTCGTGGAGCGGGTCTATTGTCGTCATTGTAGTCACATTATTAGATTCGCATCGCTGGCCATATTAATTGTTGCTGCCAAAGACGGACCCACTGCAGCAAGCGGAACGGTTCATTGAGCAGGGCGACAGAATGCAACTACTAACGCCGTAATGATCGTGTGCTTTTGTCATTACAAGTTACAGGAGCGGATTGGGAGTGTTTTCGAGTTGCCTAAAGTGTAATGGTTATTTACATAAGATACTTTCAACTAGGTCAATTTGGCAGCTGATAACTAGCTCTACAGAACCTATAGAATTAAACATGATATTTTATATTTACAGAATTGATTTTAAGCTTATGTATTGCAGGTGAAACAATAATGGTTTTGAGAAAATTTAAAAATTATTAGCTGTGACTGAATTACAATATAGTATGTCCAAAAACATTATTCAATGTGGCACCTTTAGTCGCGCAGTTTGAGTTAAACAAATAAAATAATAGATTTAAAAATGTTGCTTTTTAAATCCCTCCCTGTTCAAGTTACTGTTGCCTGGGCTTGACACTCAAATTTGGTCAGTTGACGTGGTTCTGGGCTAACGCTTTTCAGTTCTTGACAGGGTTTATGGCCGGAAATTCTAATTGCTGTTCGTTTGAGGTAAAAAAATGTCCCCATATCTAGTCTGCTCACCTAGCATAGTATTAAGTTTATTAGTCATTTGGGGCAGGAACACTTAATTCTGATGGCTTACCTGTACTTTAGGCCAATGCAACTGCAATTGAGAGCGGATTTCTCTCTGGCACTCGCATTGCGACTGGAAACCGGCTGGCCACAAAAAGGAGACAGGCAAACAAACAAGCAAATAAGCATTCCAGCAAGGATCGACAACCTGCAGGGTGGCTGTGTGGTGGTTGGTATCGATTTTTAGTGGCATTGCAGTTGCCACTGGCAATCGCCGTGCCTCCTGCCATTGGGGTAGTCGCAGTCTCAAGTTCGTCTGCCAATTATTTGCCGCTTATTAGGAGTACGGAACAAGGGCCCAGGAATACGGACACATGGACTTCGGAGCGGGCAGCACGTGACTTGTTCTTCCGTCGCAGCCTTGGCCATTGTTTGCATTTGCATTTGCCTTTGCATTGGCCAGGAACGGGGTGGCCTGTTTTTGACATGCAGCTGTGAACAGATGAGGTCACCACAATATTAGCTAAACATTGTTAACAAATATATAATTATGTTAATCACTTTCCAAAATATTAATCAAAGAACCAATTAAAGAATTTATTTTCTGATTTGAAAATGTTATATGCCTAACCGATTTTAAAATAACAATAATAACATTTTATTTACCTTAGGAGAAATAAAGTGAAAAATAAATGTTGATTTACTTGTTCTTAGCTGCACTTTTGTATTAATAAACAAAGAATTTCTGAGCAATTTAGTAGATATTAAAAAAAAACGACAATTAAATAAATAAATTTGTAATGTTTTAAAAAAATACTGTAATAAAATAATTTAATTTCAATACTAAATTGTTTTAATAAGGTATAAACAATTAGCTTATATAACTTGTTTAAATGTCAGCACTACCAAGATTAGTGCCCTTACTATTTTCATATATAAATATAAACATATATAAACATAAACATATATAAATTAAACATTTTATATACATAATTATGCATTTTTTTTATTTATAAATTATGGTTTATGCTTTTGAAATATTAACAAAACTGTATTCAGTGTTTTGAAACTACCATATTGAACTTAGCTGTTTGTAGACACAACTCAAGTGTCGCCTTAATGTTTGGCCATTTGCATGAAGTGGGCGGTGATGTGGGCGGGGGCAGTGGTTCGAGGCGATGGTCTTCAGGGAGGTTAAGCCACCCCCGAACTTAAATCACTGCTAACCACCCACCACCCACTGAGAAACGTTCGCTGACCAGCCGGATTGTTAAGCCCCGTTGTTTTTTATGCGCCCAGCGCAGAGGCGAAGTAAACCGGTTCATAATCCTTTCAAACGTAAAACGCAAAGCCAACTGCGGTCGTCAGCGAAATTTCCAGTTAAAATGCAGGCAAAATTGGGGTTGTCGGTCGGTCAAAAACATTGCAGATTCCCGTTTAATTTAAATTTCACTTTTTAACAAAGCGACAAAGGCGTCTCGTTTTTCGGCGATGAGATCTTTTGGAAATTTATCAACACTGAATATACTTAACGAAGGTACAATAATGCCATCCCTTTCTAGCTGAAAAGTTCTTCTTCTTCTTTTAAGCACACCGATCGGTAGTTGTCAAATAAGATATCGAGGTATAAAGAAAGTGTGAAAATTGGTTCCAATTCTACAATAACTTAATTAATGGACATTCATTTGTACATGGACTATAAAATAAAGACATGTAAGTAATTCCTTCATTGAAAAATAGTGGCTTTCTGTAAGTGCGCGGACGCTCCTGCCCACAGTTTTGTTGTTGTTGGAGAAATTAAAAAAACTAACAAGGTAATTATTATATGTCTATGAATCAACTAAAACTTAGGGCAAGCAAACAATATAATTATTTCCTGCACTTGTGAGTTAAAAAAAGTCAATTCATTGCTATTTCTACTCCATAAAAGCGGAATATTAAAACAACAAAAGTAGCAACCAATTGAGCGATGTTTCAGAGAGGGGGCGGTGTCAAGGAAAGGGGAAAAATCACCCCAAAGGGCTTCAATTCTCTTATTTTCTTCACGCTTGCCTGGCCACAAAAAAAAGCTATTGCTTCCGACTGTCGACTGTCAGAAATCAATGCATTTATCCTCGTCGGCAACAAAAGCAAACAATTTGCGCTTTGTTATTGTTTCTTTTGTTATTTGTTGTTTGCCACTGCAACTGCAGCCATCTCTTTCGCAGATCGAGTTAACATATTGCTATCTCTCTTTCACATTTTATTTACATGTGCAGTGCCAAAAAAACAGTTGGAGTCATCCAAATGGTTACATATTGTTGATCAAACTAACTGATATATTGTTAGCAAATTTTACCCATATATATTTGCTAATGAAAATTAAAAAAATGTATTTCGTTCTAAATTTTGTATATATTTTCTATTTGAAATAATTGAAATACAGTAAACCCTCTGATTTTATTATTAGTTTACTGTTTCGTGGCAGCGCTGTACATATTTAATATTTAGTTACATATCTCTGAAATGATTAAATATTAATTTAAAAATTGAGTATTCTGTTGTACTAATACTATTAGTTTCTCCCCATCTGTGTTTGCAATTTCGGGCGCCTGCAAGCTCCCACGGGGATGCAATGTCGATGGGAATAACAACAATAGCAATAAGAACAACAGTGCGAAACGAGGAAGTAATAAAAACAAAAGTAACTGGCTGAACAGGGCTGTGAAAAATGTTTGGCAAAAGCGAATTTACAGCCTTGGCAACTTCTGTCGGTTTCAGGGAATCCGCCCCCAAGGGACACGCCCATGGCCATTACCAAATGTTATTGCTCAGTAATGGCTAACAATGAGATTTCCGCTATTTGTCTGTTACCGCGGCAACCCTAACAAATGCAGTTGCAGTGCGCGACAACCCAGGCGCAAGCACTTTAATTAAGTTACCTGGATTCGAGCATGGTGCAGACATTCCAATTTCAATTCCATCAGCTCACCTTAACGCTAGGCTACAAATGAACTCTTCCGAGAATCAAATTTCATGCCCACGGCCATAAAAAAGCAATGTTTGGGGTTTCGGGGTGTGGGGATCGTAGGTACCACGGGGTGGGGTCGATGACGAGCGTCAAACAGTCCAACAATCAGACTTGAACATCCATTTTTGTAACTGCAGTGATCACTGGCTTTAAGTATCCAGACATTAAAAAATCACTTGAGTTTAGGTGGGCTGATTAGAGTTTTTACTTTAACTCTTTTACACTAAAGCACTAAAACACCAAAAGAGAATTGCTATAGAATTCTTTTAATTGCTAGTCATATTTATTTATGTTTGTTATCATTAACACAATACACCTTTTATTAGCTAAGCCAAAAATGTATATAAATAGAATTTCTATCTCTTTCTATGAAACAAGTTTTCCCATTTCCAAATAATTATAAAATGAGATAACAAATTTTACGAGCAACAACTGTACTACATTTTACCTGTTCTTTGTTAGTTTCTTGTATTTTTTAATAGTTTTCTATGTCGGTTGCCTCTGGTTCTTATGTTGTTTCTGCTGTTGACTGGGCTCTCTTTCATTGCAATTCACTTTAGTTTGTTGCCGGAGTTTGTCTACTTTCGTTGCAGCAGAAACATCAGCAGCTATGGCCTAAAGAACCAGCAGAGGCAGAACAATGATAATAATAAAAGCCGTCCCTGGACTTCAACAAACGGATGCTCTCAAGCGGCGCAACTGTTGCTTTATACACAACAACAAAAACAAAACATTTCTGATTTGATATTAAATGTCAGATTTTACCTCTAGAAAACCATATTAATTTCTATTTTTATCTCAGTCAAGATAATAAAAAATACCTAATAGAACCTTTTAAATTTTAAAAATACAATTTAATATATATAACATAACAGTCAAATTAGTTATATCACTTTTAAAAGTGCAGCACATATTTTTCCAGTGCATGTCCAGGTTGGGGGCCATTCCCTCGTCATCGTAGATTGTGGTGCTGCTCCTGCAGTTTTTGCTTTTGTTCATCTTTCTATCTGGCGGCCTCGTATCTTTGTGTTATGGTCTTTCAAGTTAATTGTAAAAGCTGCACTCGCGCACAGTTCGTTATTATCTCTGTTGGTAGTTGGAAAAAGTAGAATACGAGCTTAATGAAGTTTTATGTGTTTCTAATGCTCAGCCAATTTGTTTCGATCTTTTTTCTACGGCTTTTTCTTCACTGCGATGATATTTCAATTGTGATAGAGTTATTTGTCTAAGAGTTGGATTCGTTTGCGGGGGAAATCGAAAATAAAGGTTGAATGAAATGGGCCAGATAAAGAAGCTGTAAAGTTAGATCTTGGAGAGCGACAGCATGGGGTAAAAACTTAAAAATTGTTCAACTCTCAATTACGGACCTTCCATGATTATTCGATAACCGTTTGTGACTCTCCATTCTAAAAAATTTTAAAGTTAAAGCAGTATTAAAGTTATTTAATTATTGGTTTTTAATTGTTAATATTTTGTGACAAACTGTTTAAAGGTTTGAATTAATATCACTCAAGCAGCTAGTGCTAATCAAATTATGTCCCATTTCATTGGCCAGATGACGTCAAGTGCATGACACCCAATTCCCCCATCTTTCCCCTGTCAAATGTCATTTCGCATTTGAAAACTATTTATATACGAGTATGTTTACCAGATTCGCTCGCGTGCTTTCCCCTTTTTCTTGCGTGTCAGCTTTTGTCAACTCACTCTTCGTCTTGGGGCTGGTTCTTCTTCCAGAAAAAAATAGAGAGACAGGTCTGCAACATAATTTTATTTAATTACTGGCAACAACAAAATGCGGCGACAACAAGAATTTTCTGTGTGTCATAAAAAATTATATTATGCTTCTAGCTTGGAACCAGAAATAATACAAATTTAAGAATACACTTGCAAAATAGTTTATCTTTGTGACATTTTTGATGTATTACAGTTATCAAATTTACACTAAACTTAGTAATTAGTTAAAAGTTATAAATTTATATACTAAATAAGACTTAAGCATATATATATTTTGTAAAAAACCTAGTTAACTTTTCAGTGACTGACAATAAGTCATAAATGCTAATAATTAAGTATAAATGTCTTTAAACTTACAGAGTATAGTATCCAGTCTCTAAATATATATTTGCTGAAAGTAAAATACCCTCTGAAAGGGTATACTAAGACGGATGAAGGGCTAGGGGCATAGGAAGTGGGGTCATTGGAGTAGTAGTTTGTGAAATAGGGGGAATGGGAATGGGGACTCTGTTGTGTACAACTCGTTTTTCGCTGGCCACAATTTTTTCAACATTATAATTTCGCTTTGAATTACACACATTGCACAAACAGAGGAACACAGCAACAGTAACCACTGCTAGCACTGCCAAGTTCATTGACTCGGCCATCAAGAACTACAACAATAGAGACGAAAAGCACATAATGATTGCAACAAGTTTGCATAAAGCAAGCGCTGATTATTTTAGCACTTATTAAATTTTAGCACAACGGCCAACACAAGTGGCAACAACAACAGAACCCACAACAACTCCATAATTATCATCCCCATAATCATGATCATCTCGATCTGGCGATCAGAACAGCAGCTGCATTTGCTTCTGATTTTCCAGCCACATGCAACTTCGGGCTCCTCGATCAGCCCAATTGCTGCCGTTCACTTGCTCCGGAGATCTACGCCAGCAGCCAGAGATGAGCTAGCTTATTATTGGTTCGTTTCGGTCTAATAGTATAGACACATTTTAAGAACTTTTAACTGGAACTTCTAAAATCATCGGAAAATAGAATTATTAGAGGGCAAGTATTTGGTTTGAAATTTTGCCAAATACAACTTCAAAGTAGGTTACAATCTCTGCAGAAATGGAAAATGTCAGGAATAAGGTATATGTTAATTTTAAAACGATTTAATTTGGAGGTTACACTTTTTAGCTACGTGTTTGTATGATTATGTTAAAAGTGACTGCGATCGGTCATCTCTGATTTAGCTGCAAATCCAAAAGCCAGCAGCGTTCTCGTCTCGTTTCTTCGGCTGTCCATCCGCGTGTCCACGGTCCGTTCACTGTCCATTTGTCCGGACAATGCCCGCCAGCTATTTTACACGCCATTGACTTACAAGTGGAAGAAGTTGGGCAGGATGAGTGGGGTTCCAATGGAGATGCACCCAAGTGCTAGCCAGCATGTGATAAAAATATTCCCCAAGGCAACGGCAGCTTCTGCTGCAGTTGCATCTGCTGGATGCGGTTGGACGTAGCTTCCAGATGATCTGCGCAGCTCCCCCGCACTGCTCGATCCATCGATTCTTAGATAGTTTTTTGCAGAT